TCCTGATGAGGGCAGTGACTGACACCTTCCGGCGACAAGCCTGGCGCTTCGAAAAACAGGGTTCGCCGCACCTCTTCTCGCAGCGTGATACCTCTGATTCCTCGTGACTGCACTGACGCTGGCACGGCGCTTCACAAGGACCACAACGTCGGCCGCATATCCTTTTGCATGGGTGGCCGCAGGGGAGTGTTTTGTTGCATTCCAACCTACAAGGTCGGTGGCTTCGACCCGCCCGACAGACGTCGCAATCGCCGGTACAGCGGTGCCCGCATCGGTGCACGAACTCACAGGCTTCGATGCATTTCTCATCGGGCTTCCCTCTGGTTCCCTGGCAGCTCTGCTCCACTGTGTGTTGACAGCTCAGAACGTTTTGGACCTTGACTTCACAGGTTCTCGAGATCTCCTCAAGCTGTCGGGATTCGGAACACGGGACGCGCATCGAGTGACCGCAATTCAATTTGAGCTCGTTGCCGATGTTGCACAAACTCACGACGAAGCCGGAGTTGTTCGAGGAGCTACAAACGACTTTGACGAAATGCCCACAAGGGGACATGGCCTCGACGGGAACCTTGCAACACGACGTAATGAAGTGCCGGTCCTCTCGCTTCCCACAAGGGATCTTGACGAGATGCTTGCACGGGCCTTCTACAAAAATCGATTCTTTGCACTCCAGAGCCTTCTTGGAGAGGTATGCCTCATCGCGACTCACGTTACACGGAGCGGAACAAGAATGTCCACAGCCCAGCGTGACCTTGACCACCTTCCCGCAGAAGTTCGCAGCGTTTTCAGACATGTTACAGCTCACGGTGACCGAGTGCCCGCAAGAGGCTTCCTCCCGTACCAACTCGCTGCACATAAGGGTTCGTTCCGATTTAACATCCGGATTGGTAGAGTCTTCGCAGCGGACCTTGATATGGTGTCCACACGTCAGTTCCACGTCAACCATCCGCGGGCAAATGAATGAGTCAAGGGCCTGCAGATGGAGACACATCAGGGTCTCTGAATGGCCACACGGGAGATGAATATTCGGCACTTCTACCGCACACTTTGAGGTGAGTAGAGCCAGGTCTTCGC